CCCTTCTTGCGGTCAAACATTTTAAACTCACGTGAGCGGAGGTCCTCCAGGAAAATCATCTCTTTGTCTTTTTCTAATGATGTGTGAAACCACTTCGCTACTCTTAAGCCTGGAAGACCACGAACCGTCAGCTCAGCGTTAAGTAGAGGAAGAATTTCTTGGAAAAATTCCGCTTCTTTCTGGAATACTATTACACTAAGTTCTGAAATGCCGAGCCCAGCCGCTCGCATTGGGTTGAGTTTGGCCACATAAGAGGTAGTTCGCTCCTGCCCTGCCAGGGAGAACTTGACACTGACGCTAGTGACGATGGTGGCGTAGTTGTCGCCCTTGTTTGTAAAGTCCTTAACACTCCAAGAGACGAGGTCGGCCTCGCTGCCCTTGTCCGCCGTCAGCGCCGCCTTCACATGAGCTTCTGTGATGTTGTCCTGCGGTCTGGCAGGTTTTGCCTCTCCTACACTTGCCACTATGGAAGAAAACATACTACGTTATCTACATGGGAATATCACCCTATAACTCACCAAGAATGCCCTATATTACGAATAATAGAAAGTAACTAACGTATATCGAATTCGACAACAATATCCTCCATAGGTGCAATATACTAATTATGCTCAGGTGGAAATTGAAGGTGTTGGACTGAATTCTAAAATCATATCCCACGCTCTCTTCGTTCTTGTTATATGGAAATTATACATAATTTTACTCCCCATTACCTTTGCAGGAGTTTTAGTGGTCCTGTATACAATATCTCACACAGTTTTCTTCAAACACATTTCTTAGATCGTTTGATTGTATTTACATGTGATCATTCGGCAAAATGGCTCAAGCAATATTCAGGACCGTTGAGAAAGGACAAAACTCAGATGAAGATGATAATGCCCAAAGCTATAAAAAGGTTTAATCGTTAAGGGCAAAGGTAGTTCATCGAATATCAAGGGCAGGAAAAGGGCAATGAAAGCCAGAGTCTGGAAGAGGGAGCTTTTGGTAAAAAAAAATTTAAAACAGGGTCACCAACTTCCTCAGCGATCTCTCACGGTGCTCTATAGAGTTTTAAATTGCAATAACTGATATGGCAAACTTTCTCTTGAAGTGATGATCAGATCACTAACACACTTTAAAGTCCCTTGATGTCAATTATCTTGAAGCTGCACGGTGAGTCAGCTCAAGGTAGACGTCAACGTAACAGAATCATGGTAATTGTAAGATGCATGTATTGGGTTTTCTCAAAACTGGTACCGAACGACTGAATACAAAACTTATATCCAGCTTACGTACAATAATATGCAAACTCTTTGACACAAATTTGACCGAAGAGGTTAATTTTAGCTCTCCTTTACTTAATTAGCAACTTATTATGTAACGCTGAAGAATATATGCCAATTAGTAAGTTCAAGTGAAAATTAAAATATTATTCAACACAAAAGATATTCCTGAACACAAAAATAAATATTTATTCAGCTCAATAACAAGCCGGTCGCCGGTGAGGTCATGAATACATATTCGCGGCCAGTCAAGCAAATGCAAACTACCTGCAATAGAACCACAAGCTCTCAACACTAAATAAATTTTATGGTGTTGTCACAACTAAAAAATCTGTAGTAAATGTCGAATAATCATTGTGTACATTACTAGCATAAATATTGCAACAGAGTGCTAATAATATTATATGAACAAATTTAAGTACACTGTACATATAAAGAAATACATATTTTCTGGCAGACTGCATCCCCAGAACCACTTTATTTTCCTTTCCAGTCCTATCATACTTTTCGTGTAGTTGTAGGGAGTTTCAAATATTCTCATGTATGTTTCCTCATCACTCAAAAGCACCTGTTTTTTTCTTACCTCCACATGAATACCGTAAAATTTTTTGAGAAAACAGCATCCCCCCATTACATCTATAGACTGCATCTCTGTGATCGTGATAGTGTGATGTGGTAAGAAGTCTTTCTTGGAGCTCACATACCTAATTCATGGTTCTATGTTTATTCATATTATTGATACTTTTCTTAGTTCTTAACGTCGAATGGTTATTTCCCTAAGGGAAGGGAGCGTTCTGTGTACAAAGAACATGGGAGGTGTTCAGTTAAGGATTCATTCTTGGTTATTTCACCAGCGAGATGTTGGTGGAGGGTCTTAGGGGATATTCATGCCCGTGTCACCTCTTGGGTGGCTTAATCTTTATCAATAAATCAGTCGGTGGAGGGTGACAGACTATAACTGCTTGCTGGGCAGGATCTGCATGCATCTAAGAGAGTGTGTTCTCTCGTCTGTCCAAGTTTTGTTCCTTCTGTCTTTCTACTTTCGATTAATTTCAGTTTAGGTGCATTCCCTTGTATTGTGCGCGTCCCTCAACATCCACTTCTCTGCCACCATGCAACCAAACAGCTACTAAGTCCCAAAATTTATCTTGACTACTCATACACATCCTACTCTAAACTATTTGTTCAACAGTGTCTTCCTGAAATCTTTCAATAAAAACCAAGGTCCCTGCTACTGTGTACTGTTTCCAAATAACGTTTCGGAAAACCTTTGTGTTATTTCTGCACGACGTAACCGGAGACGCAAATTTCAACTCGAGTGCAGGTTGTTAGCTGACCGGTCACACTAGGGGCTTCGAACCACACCTGTGAACTGTCTAAGCAAGTCAGGCACCTCTATCTTAGGTCTACGTCACAAACAGAAGTCAAATTCAATCCTGAGTAAAGGTTTGTGTCCATTCTTGCTAGATGGATCTAAGTTACTCATGATACGAACACAGAGAACTATCAGTCTTACTTGTACACAGAGTCGAGGGACGACCAAACAAGGGCAGCAACTACGGTACGACCAGCCAGCAAGGTCTGGCCACTGTCTTCTACACTTGACCACTGATTACGTGGACCTTGATCACATGGGATGGAATACGTGGGAGGAGCTTGCTATCATCGTTATCCGTAATTTTAGTAATTTTTTTCGTGGACACATCTCTTCACGCATAATACTGCTTGCTGGGAGCAACTGTAGAACTTAAAGTTTAGAAACCAAAACAGCGCTTTTTTCTTATTATTTTTCAATATTTCAATATATAATATTTTTCAATATTTCTTTACGCAGCAGACATGTTTCCTGAAGATGTAACAAGAAGGCCTATTGATCCGTGTTCGGCAGCTCATAATACTCTCCAGCCACAACACTCATCTAATTTTCTAACAATACTTAGCTAACATCTTTTGTTTCTAATATTATGTATGATGGCACACAGAAATCACAATAGGATGATGCATCAAATGAACAGTCTACTTAACGTCGTAGCTCAGTCAATTAAGGCAGCGTCTGGGAGGTTCTCGGACGCAGGTTCGAATCCTCGTCACGGCTCTTGTGGAATTGTTCATATGTATGATGGTTTTACTCACAAGAGCAGCTATCTCTTGGAGCAAGAGAACGCTCGCTAATGACTGACTCTTGGTATCTAATATATAGATTATACGTTTCAGAAACCATAACCATCGCCGATGCTACATCATTGAGGCCATGAGCACTACAACTCTGGCTTAGACCCTCGCTTTTTGGGATTAATAATTTTTGTGGTGACTGTGGAATACTGACTATGGCAGTGAGGGTGTGTAGTTAGTAACGAGTGTCACACCACAACAACTATGTGTCACACTATGAGCAATTGTATGGCAGACTATGAACAACTGTCAGAATATGTTCACTGTGTGTCAGACCATGAACAACAGTGTGCCAGACCATGAGCAGGGCATGAACTATTCTACAGAAGAGCCAACAAACAAGCTCATGTATAAAACAATGTTCAGTAGTACGGTCTTGAACACGGTTGAACGTGCGTGTATGACTGCAAATACATTGTTACATGTCTAGTCACACGCACTTGTAGCTATCTTTCCCTGATAAACGATTATGAACCAACATGCGCATGAATGTACGTATTTTGATCAATGTTCAAACGTGGTTGTGACTGCAGTGAACAGGTGTACAGGCTTGTCTGTACTCTATCTGTCTGTCTGTCTGTCTGTCTGTCTGTCTGTCTGTCTGTCTGTCTGTCTGTCTGTCTGTCTGTCTGTCTGTCTGTCTGTCTCTCTCTCTCTCTCTCTCTTTCTGAACATCAGCATGACTTGTCAGAAAGAAATTCGAAGGTTAATATCCTTTTATTGTTTTCCCGAGTCAAGGACGCAGCACCAGCTTTGTCATGATTACAATATTACATTGGGGAGTGGAAGAGTGAGAGTGAGGGTGAGAGTGAGTGTGAACTCAAAGAAGATATAACACTGAACGCCATAGCTATATGAATCAATAATTAAATGGTTCTTTATGATTGTCGATTAATTTAAATATTTCAGTGCAGTACTAGACATTATATTAATTATGTAATGAACCACAAATACTTCATTCACAAATACTTAGTGAATAACATCTGGTTATAAAATGTTTTGTAGATGTTAGACATTGACAAAATTTCTTACTCCTGAATATCACTTGTTATTCACATACTGCGTGAAGGTCATCTATCACTAACGATACTTGAGGAAAAGTGTTCCAGATGAAGACAGCCTCTAAGATCGGTCTCTTTAACCGGTTTCCTATTGTCCAGGAACGATGCTCAAGCACCAGTAGGATAGTGGCCAGCACAACCGCCTGACAACAGATTGGTAGAGCGTTCGAATTCTGTCCAAGGTGAAATGTTTGGCCACGTTTCACTTAGATAGATAGATAAGTAGATAAGTACCTGACACTTGGCTAATCTTTGTCAGTTGCATCCTGGAGAGTGATGATGTGGGGCTGGCAAGTAAGTAATTATCAAGTTTGACTCACTGTCTTGTTCTCTGCCTTTCTGTATGACTGTGTCTCTCTGCATGTGTGTTTGGGGGTGGAGGAGAGGGAAGTGTTGGTGGGGCCTTGTATAAGCTCTTTAATTGTGGTGGAAATAGATCCTAAACTACTCAATATCACAGAATGGCTGCACATAGAAAACGAAAGTTATAGAGGACAAAAAAACATTTTTCGTGTGATTATGTTTATTCTACAACACTAAGACATGAACCCTCATGGTTCGATGAATTCCCCAAACAAGGCAAGGAACCGAGATCGAAATTGCGGATTGTTTTCCATCATGTTAATGGTCTTCTGACGGCCCTCTTCCATAAACTTCGGAATGTCCTCTTTCTTCATATTGATGACATCGGGGATATCAGAGCTCTCCCTAAGCATTACCGACACCGACATTGATGCGAAGAGCAGACCGTATTCCATCCTGTCTCTGTACTCCTGGTGGAGCTCCTCCAGGGTGAAGGGCATGTCCCTTCCCCCGGCCTCCATAACACCCCGGAAGGTGTCGTAGTAGGAGGAGAGGAAGTCCCGCCAGTTGGCCTTCCTGTCGTTGCCGTGGAGGCTGGTGTAGAGGAGGTAGTTGAGGTCGGTGGCCGGGGAGGCCACACGGTTCAGCTGGAGGTCAAGGAGCATCACCTCAACTGGTTCACCTTCTTCACTGTACCTAGAAATACGAGAGCCAGTATGAATTCGAGTTGTACATTGATAATCTAGCTTGTATTCGTTTTATTAAACCGTAGGACGTTTTGATTTAACTTTCTATTCCTGAAAATTAAATGCATTAACATTTTTATTTTGTACAACATAAGAACAAATATTATACAATTTCCAACCAAAATATGTCCACAAAACGAGTATTATGCATTGAATAAAGTTTTCTTACCTGAAGAGTAAATTGTTAACCCAGCAATCACCATGACAAATGACATCAAACTTGGCATTTCTGACCAGAAGGCGCTCGACAAGATCAGCAGAGTTGTTCTTATGCTTATTCAACCAATGTTTCGCCGTCTCGTAGCCGGGTCTGTCCTTGAGCAACTCCTCAGCACCCCCTAAATTTCCCGAGCACATCTCATTGAACATTTTTTTCCCGTTTGCCGAGAAACTCATCCAGTCGACCTTAATGTATGTGAACCTATCAGCCAGGTCTTGCTCGGGTGCCGTGGCCTTCAGCAGGAGGGAGGCGGCGTGGAGTCTGGCCAGCTCCTGCAGGACGAGGGTGGCGTGGGCCACGTCCAAGCCCTTCTTGCAGTCGAACATACGAAAGCCCCGAGGACGTAGGTCTTCTAAGAAAATCATCTCTTTATCCTTTTCTAATGACGTGTACAACCACTTCGCCATCCTTAAGTTGCTGAAACCCCGGGAAGTCAGTTCAGAGTTGAGTAGAGGAAGGATTTCTTGGAAAAATTCTATTTCTTTCTTGAATACAGATAAAGAAAAATCTGCAAAATCTTTCCCAATTGATCTCTGAGGGTTTATTTTGACCACGTAAGACGCTGTCTGATCCTTCCCCATCAAGAAGTACTTGACGCTAACGCTGGTAACAACAGAAGCATAGTTATCACCCTTCTTAGTGAAATCTTGAACGCTCCAGGAGACGAGGTCGGCCTCGCTGCCCTTGTCCGCCGTCAGCGTCGCCTTCACGTGAGCCTCTGTTATGTTGTCCTGCGGTCTGGCAACTCCTGCCTCTCCTGCACTCGCCACTTGAAAATAAGGTCCTCTCTTAACACAAAATAATTTAAGTTTGAAAATTATATTGACCTTACGGTCTATGCGTGGTTACATAATTAATCAAAAACAATATTTAGAGATGAGAAAGTTTATTAGGTAAAAAAATTAAGTATATTATTCATTTAAATTAATAATAACAGCCCCACCTTTATCCACCCTAGAGGGGAAAATGGAATAGAGGTTGGGAAAGACCAGGGGAGAACGAAGGGAAGGATGAAGTAGGGAATTAAGGGGATCAAGTACAACTGGGTCAAGGGGGAAGATTGGATGATATCGTTTGTGTGTAGGTGACCAAACCTACAGAACCATCTAGCCTACCTAAACCGATACTTACTAATCAAGGAAACTGTCACTGTTACGGGGCTGAAGCAGCGGAATACAAACTCAGTGGTCGACTGTTAAAATTAACAGTCGAAACAGTTAAAATTACGCAATAATAAACGTTGAGGACAGAGGTATGTACCGTGTTGCGAACATCAAACAACTTACTTGAGCTATATGAGAAGAGCGTTTAACGAGTCAAACAATCGTTGAACAAGAAGTTGCTCACAACACCGCACGTCCACCAGCCGGTAACACGACCCTCAGACTCCACCCCCCTGTCTGGATGTAGCGTTGGAACCTCCTGCTTCGACCTCGACTTGAACCTCCTGTTTTGACCTCGACTTCAAATTATAAAATAATTTGTCTCGGAAATGTCTCGTGTGTCCGACATGAACGAGACTCCATCACCTGATGAAGAGAAAGTTACGTATATTTGATCAATTATCATGACATCAACTGCAATGACAGCAATTTGACCGTTTGGCATCTTGATGACCACAAAGGTTGCTGTACTGTTGGGTTACATGTGAATCAATAATTGAATGACTCTTCACGATTGTCGATTAATTTAAAAAGGTCAGTGCCGTACCATCAAGCCATGATGGTACTGCATTTAATGCCATCGTAATAATATTGTTACGAACCACAAGAACTTTGTGAATAACTTCTGGTTATAAAATATTTTGTGGATGTTAGACATTTGGCAACATTTCCTACTCCTGAGTATCACTTGTTATCTGACTCTATCGTGGTTATCAGCACGTTTGCTGACGTAGATGTTAACAACCTCAAATACTGGCAGTTACGTGCTCGCAAACGACACACGCACACCCACACATACTCCCACATTCACATACACACACACAAATACACACACACTGGCGCGCGCACGAGTACGTATACAAATGTACAAACAAACACACCCAAAATACATGCTCACATATACGCACGTACACTCACGTACATAGAAGCACACAAAGAGACATGCACACATACGCACGCACACGCAAATATAAACAGGGGCCTCGTAGCCTGGTGGATAGCGCGCAGGACTCGTAATTCTGTGGCGCGGGTTCGATTCCCGCACGAGGCAGAAACAAATGGGCAAAGTTTCTTTCACCCTAAGTGCCCCTGTTACCTAGCAGTAAATAGGTACCTGGGAGTTAGTCAGCTGTCACTGGCTGCTTCCTGGGGTGTGTGGTGTGGGAAAAAAAAAGTAGTTAGTAAACAGTTGATTGACAGTTGAGAGGCGGGCCGAAAGAGCAAAGCTCAACCCCCGCAAAAACACAACTAGTAAACACAACTAGTAAACACACACACACACTGGCGCGCGCACGAGTACGTATACAAATGTACAAACAAACACACCCAAAATACATGCTCACATATACGCACGTACACTCACGTACATAGAAGCACACAAAGAGACATGCACACGCAAATATAAACACATAACACACACGCACATACATAAATGCACACACAAAATGTCGTTGACCAGAATAAAAAAATCCTGAAGTATGGGACGAGAAGACTCAGAGCTCAGAGGTATAAGGAATAACTACATACACGACCAGATAGTGTTGGAAAAGGAAGCCAGTATCCCTGAATACAAATGCCTCGCTTATATTATCAAGAGAGAAAATATCAGAATACGTCTCATTTACACGAACAAACTGGAAACCCGTTTATTCCAATGAGAAATATTGACTTTACAATGTACATTATGATTTAGTGATGTAATGAATTATGAAGTGAGATGAAGATAATATCCAAAAAGAGCTTTAGCTGTATGAAACAATAGCGAAAAAAGAAGCAGTTCCCAAAAGCTCAATTCCAGTCCCCAAAAGTACATCTAGGTGAAAATATACATATCACACCACATGTACAAGATGATAAATGACAAACGTGATGATCGACAGCGTGTTTACTATGGTGGACAAAGACGTCAACCTTGTTTACTCTAAGAAAAACAAGTCAACGACGGAAGATGTTTACTGTGGGGGGAAGAAAAGCAAGTAGACAAGGCCAGTGTCTTTGCTATGGGAAGAGACAGAGCTGAAGGACACAAGTGCAGCATCATATATACATGAATCAGCGAGATTAAAGACAGTGTGTTCACACACACGCGAGAAGCAGGCATGTGTAAATTTGAGTAGTTAGTGACAACCGTACGAGCCATATTGACAGTAGGTACTTTCTCTACCATATGAGCAATAGTGACAATAGGTACTTCCTCTATTTTACATGTTATTTGGACAGACGATACTATCTTTACCATGTTCCATGTGAACCAAAAGTACAATATCTACTATGTACCATATAGGCCATAAGTATAATGACTGCCATATACCTTAATATTCGTAGGTACAAACTCCACCAAGTATCACGTTGGCCCTACTAAAATGCCTACACTGCATCATATGGGTCGTAGATACTATCTCTGTTTACCAATGAGTCATAACCCATGTGTTTGCTGGAAGACTTCACTTGAGCAGGGGCGGGAGAGAGGCACAATATGGCACCCATCAACAAGGTTTACCTGTGTATTACACCTAAGATGAAATAACAAATTAACTTTGTATTGTAGTTACGACTACGAAATAGACGGTAGCAAGCAGTCGCGCGGTTCTTTAAGCTGATAAGTTGCTTGGCTGAAGAGTTGGGACACACTTCTAGCCAACGCATCTCTCCGTCTCTCACCCGGTCTATTCTCGCTGATCATTCGCTACCAAGCCTCCGCTCCCTTCACATCAACCTCCAGCTCCGCGGCTCCACCTCCGGCATGACTAATAACAGTAAGCAGTTACATGTGCATGCAGTATACATATCCGCCTATTGTTCTAAAATGAAACTAAATTATTAAGTAAACTTTTGTATTGTAGAATTTGGACAAACCAGAAATGATCACAATCACGAAACTGCTCAGATATATATTATTTTTCCATCTGTGATATTTTTGGGGAATATTTACATATATATTTATGTTTCGAATATAACGAGGACGAAGCCGAAAGACGAGATGTTGTGAGAGGAAACGGTCTGACTTGCAGGGCTGGGCCGCCTCTCAATAATAACAATAATAATAATAATAATAATAATAATAATAATAATAATAGTTTTTCAGCCTTTGTTTATATATCAGATTTACGTACGTCCAATTCTTTCTCTTTATACATAATCCGCTTTATTGGTCAAAAGAAAGAGAGAAAGCAAAGAAGAAGAGAACGCAGACAAGCTCTGGCCTCAGTATAATGGCCTTGAGAGTCCATCACACTTGAGAAGACATGATAAGTAAAACGTTCTCAGTGTTAGTGTGCACATTTAGGGTGTGCTTGCAGGGTCGAGCTAGGCTCTTAGCAACGCCTTCTAAACGTTCTTGGATTAATGCAATAATTCATTTCTCACGCTTTTATCATATTTATATTTAGAACTTTAAATCGAATTAGCTTCAACGACTGCTGCGTCTAACCTGTTAACCTTATTGACAGCTCAGGCACTGAAAAAGGGTATTTCTGACGTCCATATATGTCTCATTTGCATTTCCTGTTTCCATCTATGACCCCTTGTTCTACTTTTACTAGTTTTGAACAATGCTGCTTTGTCTACTTTACCAATTTCCCTTAGTATATTGCATGATATTATATCCCCTCCGATCTCTTTTTTCCTCTGGTGTAGTAAGGTCTAGTTCCCTCAGTCTTTCCTCATACCTTAAGCCCTTCAGCTCATGAACGAGCCTTGTTGAATATCTCTGGAATTTTTCTAATTTCTTCTTGTCCTTTTACAGGTAAGGGTTCCATGCTGGGGATGCATATTAAAATTTGGGTGTTTCACGTGACACAACACAAATACATACACGTGCGCAAGCACACACACACACACACACACACACACACACACACACACACACACACACACACACACACACACACACACACACACACACACACACACATATGCACTCTCTCTCTCTCACTCTCTCTCTCTCTCTCTCTCTCTCTCTCTCTCTCTCTCTCTCTCTCTCTCTCTCTCTCTCTCTCTCTCTCTCTCTCTCTCTCTCTCTCTCTCTCTCTCTCTCTCTCTCTCTCTCTCTCTCTCACTCTCTCTTTCTCCTTCCCTTGTAATATTCATTTTTATTTTCCGTGTCTCAGGGCCACAGAGGGAGCTGCGTCACAATTACTCAAACATTACCAAGATGTATGGCATAGAAGTAAACAATAATGATAAATGAGGGAAAGGATTCATAGAGAGAAGTGAGTAATGGAGACGCCCAGATTGATGGATAGGGAGACATGAGAGTCGGGAAAGTGAGAATGAATGCAAAAGAGGAATGAATGAGAAGAGTGAGAATATAACAGGACATAAGAAGGAACGAATATATCTATATCCTTATTCCTCTCATATTTTCATAATCCCTCCCCTAATCTCCTATTACTTCTTACTGCATTTTCCCCTCCCACTTGTTTTCCAATTTTCAAAATTTTCTTTTCTTTCGGTCTTCTTTCCTTACACTGTGTAAGGAAAGAAGCACTATCTCCACTCCGGTTCTTTTCCTCCCCCATCCAATTCCTTTTCTCCTTTCTTTGTTTCCTATCCATAACACACTGCCCAGTTCCCCACAGTTTGTCACTATTACCACAACTTGTGAGCTGAGAAGCCTCTGCGACACCTTACATCCGCCAGCCTCGCGCTGTAGAATTGTTTTGGCAATTGTGTGTCGGAAGCTCTCACGATCGGGATAGTTCGCGGTGAATTTGTTAGAATAGTTTCGCGGCGTGAGTATGTTTCTGCGGACGATGATAGTGCAGGAGTGATGGTGAAATTAAAACTTTTAATTGGCTTAAAAATAATTCAGAATACAGGAAAATACACAGAGGACCAGCCGGAAATGTATCATGCCTTCCAGCCTCAAGCTTGACAGTGTGATGCCGGGCGTGACTTACAGTACAAGTCATGAGTGAAGAATGAGCCCTTCTGTTGATGATATGAAGAAGATCGCACAATTGGAGAGGTATTGCATCAGCGGCCGAATGCTTGAAGAGTTTTCCAGAACATCGGGCAGGAATTTATCTTTTAAGACAAATCTGCGATGGGCGTGTAGGACACCGGATGTCGACTGTCTAGATCCCCAGGAAGAGAGGACACTAGGTAGATCAAACGTCACCGGATGAGGACGAACTGTCGTCATCGCAGTAAAGCACTTCAAGGTCTATAGTGAAAGCGTCAGAACATGGAGGAGGCGCCGAGGTAATCTGGCTCAGGAGTATAAGGAGCAAGCCCCATGGCCAACAGTCGCGGACTTGGAGACGGGAATGAATATATGTGGGCAAGAGGGATGAGATGGTGAAGAAGGGGGGGGGGAGGGATGGGTATGGCATGTGCTTGTTGGGCGGGAGGAGACGGAGGAAGGGTGTGTGTGTGTAGGTACGAAGGGAGGAGCCGGAGCCGGGGGGGGGCGGGGGAAAGGTTATATGTGGGCAGGAGTTGAAGGGATGAGGGTAGGGGGTGTGTGATCACAGAGGAGATGATGAACTGGCATGTGTAATAGGATTAGATGGGGGTGATTGTTAAAGGAAATGGAGAATATTTATGTGGGGTATCGGGAGGATGTGTTGTGGGACATGGGGAAGATGTGGAGTGGGAGATGTTGATGGTGAGTGAGGAAAATGTTGATAATGGGAAGATGTATTCAGAGATGAAGACTGATATTATTGAAGATTGTTACAGTGTTGGGGTATGGGAAGGGTGTGTGTGAAGAGAGACATGAAGGGCGTGTGTGTATATATATATATATATATATATATATATATATATATATATATATATATATATATATATATATATATATATATATATATATATATATATATATATACATATAGAACCCCATATATATATATATGTACCATACAATGCCTAGGATACGTTTGGTTTGGCCTAGATAGGTTAGATTAGTTTTGATATCGTTCTTTGTGTGGTTCCATATGCGGACTTCGCCTTCCCAGCATTCAATACAACACAATGCGGACTGATATTTAATGTAATTGTCTATGTACTACCATTATGGACGACGGGCTGCCCGAGAGGTATTTATACATGTATTCCCCGAGCTTTGATAGTTGAGGAAATATATGGAAATAAGCACACAATATCTTCCTGGATTATTAAGAGGTATTTACTAGGCAGAGTGATTGAAATATAAAGAGTAAATATAAATTAATTTTGTTTATAGATTTGAAAACGAAGGAGAGCACGACTCCACATAGCCTGGTGACGGAGGACCACGTGAAGAAGGCGCTGCTGGCGGACAAGGGTAGCGACGCTCTTCTGGAGTCGTGGGTGATGGAGGACTTCACCAAACAGGGCGACAACTACGCTTGCGTCGTCAGCAGCGTCAGGGTCAAGTTCTCCCTGCATGGAGATACCTCGGAAGTGGTCTACATAGTGAAGCTCAACCCCTGCAGGAACATTGAAGCAGTCGAACATATAACTCGCTTGTTATTTTCAAAAGAGGCGAAATTCTACCTCAATCTGGCGTCTCTTATGAGCGCAGAGCTGACTGCCATTGGGCACGACCCACTGAGAATTCCTGTTTGCTTCCACGGTTCACTGGAGAGTGGTCATGAGATCCTTTTCCTGAAAGATCTTCGCCCTCGAGGGTTCAAGATGTTTGACCGTAGGAAAGGCCTGGACGTTGCACACACAACTCTAATATTACAGGAACTGGCCAGATTCCACGCTTCCTCTGTTCTGCTGGAGGCCAAGTGCCCTGGCGGCGACCTCTCCCTCCAGCACGATTACCTCTTAGGAGACTGGACCACCGCTGATAACATGCCCGCTCTGTTTGACAGATACCTGGAAAATGCCATACAAATGTTGAATAAAGTCGGTGGATACAATAGAGCAACAACCTGGATTGAAAGTCTACGGGGAAAGGTCAAAGATATTTTTGAGGAGCAGCTGGGAAGCAGGGGCAAATTTATCGTTGTGTGTCATGGTGACTGTTGGAACAACAACGTCCTCTTCAGGTAGGTTTCTGAGCTGCTTTTTGTATGTGCCTGATTTGTATGAACCTGATTTCATCTCTATTTCAGACTTGACCTCATGAAAAACGCGAATGGGAAACACAATCGACGCTGATATTTCTTAAAGTAGTGCACTAGGACTGACCCCGATTAGCTATATGACATTCCTATATGGCCCCTCTCTCTCCCTCTGACACACGCCATATGGAAAAGTTTGGTGAGGCTAGCTCTAAACCTCTGGCCTCCAGCCTCAGACAGACAAAACAAACATACAAATATATAGGACTGAAGATCGGACTTGTTAGATATGAGGCCGTCACTTTCCCAGGCCCCTGGGCTGGACGGTAGAGCGACGGTCTCGCTTCGTGCAGGTCGACGTTCAATCCTCGACGGTTCAAGTGGTTGGGCACCATTCTTTCTCCTTGTCCCACCCCAAATCCTTATCCTGACCCCTTCCAAGTGCTATATAGTCGTAATGGGTGAGCGCTTTCTTCTCATAGTTCCCTTCCCTTCTCCCAGATTAAAGTTTAAACTCGATGTTCCAAAAATAGTGAAAGGTTATACCATCAATATTGTGAGTTGTCGCTCATATGTCATGAAGGAAAGTGTTAATAACCACCAGGTACCGCCAGGGGGCTTCAGAGAAAGATATTAATTATTGATCAGCAACTATCCAACTTCCTCAGACTTGGACTGGACGGTAAAGAAAATATTTCGCTTCTTGCAGCTCAGCGTTCAATCGCCGACAGTCCATGTGGTTTGGCACATTTATTATTCTCTGCCCTGTCCTAAATTATCATTCCTACCAAGTGACACATAATCACAATGACTTAGCGCTTTCTCCTAAAAATTACCTGATCTTACTTTCTTGTATATAAGGTTTACTTGTTGTATATATGGAAACAATATATATATAATCTACTCCATAGTGAAATAAAGTATAAGAAACTGAAGTAATGTCTTCTCCCAGACAAAATAACATAGGCTAAAAACCCTAACTTGTGTACATGTGAAATTTATGCAAGGAACTCACACCAAGTCCCTCGTTCTCTCCTGAGTGCTTTATCAAGACCCCGAGTGTGTGACTAGGACGAGACTCACATCTCAACGTTCAACGAAGATGCCATCCTGGGGCCAGTCTTCTTAGTCCATAGACCCAGGATAACAGCCTCACTAGACGTTGAGATGCAAGTCTCTTCCAAATCACACACTCAGACCTTGATAAAGCACTCAGGAGAGGGCGAAGAACTTGGTGCAAATTCCCCGTACATAAACTTCACATATACACTAGTTTGGGCCCTGATCACTAGTTATATTATTACCAATATCAGATTATTACAGTAACTTGTTCCTTGTTGGTGTTTCTGGTGTGTGTTTGGTACATAGGGAACCTCAAGCGTTAACTCCACAGTGAAATGTAAGTTATTAGATGAAAGAGTTATGTTTATTTAACAGGTATGACAATAAAGGGGCTCCAGTCGAGGTGATGCTACTTGACCTGCAAGTGGTCCGCCGGAGCTCCCCAGCTGCCGACATCAACTACCTACTATACACCAGCCTCACAGGGGACATCAGGAAGCCAAACCTAGACACCTTCTTAAGCAAATACTACAACTCATTCCACAGTGTCCTGCAGGAAGCTAAAATGGACATGCCCTTCACGGAGACCTGGCTCCTTCAGGAGTTCCGAGAAAAGAACCTCGTCGGAGCATTATTCGCCATGATGCTGGTGCCTATGGTGCTCTTTGAGCCAGAGGACGTTCCTGACATGTCAGGAGATGATAACAGTGACTTAGAGGATATAATGAACGATTTCATGAAGAAGGGGCTGGAGATGATCGACACGAATCCTCTGATGAAGCCAAGGTTCTTAGCTGTGTTTGATGAAATGATGGAAGTGGGTATTATTCCCTAAGCTGCTACATAGTGACATACAATAAAGAATTACTGATTTACGAATTAACACATTTGTATCTTTTACCCCCCAAAATAGTATCGAGAGAAATTTGATGTTTCATAAAGAGTGATAGGTTGGAGATTAATCATGCCGTGCTAAACAGGTGTATGAATGCCTGTGATTTTCATGCTTGAGATGAAGAGATAATTATTAGAACTCTGCACTAATCTCCCCTGCACTAATCTTATATCTCCTTCCTAGGTGCTGTATAGTTGGATTGGCTTAGTGCTCTCTCCTTAAATATATCTAACTCTCTCTCCCCCATACAATCACTACTCTCCCCCACACAAACAACGCTCAACTCAACGCCACAACACAGGGTCAATTAAACATACAGCACAACACTTAGAATAATTCGACTCTATTGCTTCTTTGTCATCACCACATTTCCCACTATCCCACCTCACGTCCCAGTACTCCCCATCCCCACTATCCCACCTCACATCCCAGTACTCCCCATCCCCACTATCCCACCACACATCCCAGTACTCCCCATCCCCACTATCCCACCTCACGTCCCAGTACTCCCCATCCCCACTATCCCACCACACATCCCAGTACTCCCCATCCCCACTATCCCACCTCACGTCCCAGTACTCCCCATCCCCACTATCCCACCTCACATCCCAGTACTCCCCATCCCCACTATCCCACCTCACATCCCAGTACTCCACATCCCCACTATCCCACCTCACATCCCAGTACTCCCCATCCCCACTATCCCACCTCACATCCCAGTACTCCCCATCCCCACTATCCCACCTCACATCCCAGTACTCCCCATCCCCACTATCCCACCACACATCCCAGTACTCCCCATCCCCACTATCCCACCTCACGTCCCAGTACTCCCCATCCCCACTATCCCACCTCACATCCCAGTACTCCCCATCCCAACTATCCCACCTAACATCCCAGTGCGCTACACCAGGCCGTGTTATAACTGCCTCTTATCTGTATAATGTAAGAGATAAGTTAAGAACTGACAATCATCATGATATTCGAGGACGAGGCTTTTTATAGCATGTCTTTCATCATTAGTATATATGGACCATAATATTTGAGCACAGTGAACGGGGGAACACATTTTGAGAAGGTAAGTGGTCTGTTGGAGGGACTGAGAGCAAACAACGACAGGCTAGAGGCAGCAACTGAAAACGAATAACGGATCTCGCTTTAATTGTGATTATCCTGTGGCCTTCTCTCCCTCGCAGCCCAACACTGACCACTCTTACCTTCACTACCGTTCACTCTACCTCATCCCTCTTTCTGCCTCACGTACCCAAGCAGACCATCCTACCATTCCACCCTCTACCACTCCAAAACAAGGGATACAACACATGTCTGCACCCTCAACCACACAGAACTTTGTTGCGCTGAAAAATAACTTCTACCCCGCAGAAAAGCAAACCCTCTCCCACAGACAGCCATACACACTCCCACAGAAAGCCAAACACACTCCCACAGAAAGCCAAACACTCTCCCATAGACCGCCAAACATTCTCCTACACCAAACAAAGCCATGCAGCATGTCATTCCACTCTGCACCACACAAACTAAGCGCAGTTCAAAACATAAGAACACCGTCTTCCAGACACAACCAAGCACCGAAATGTTTAAATCCACCCTTTACAAGTCGACCCTTCCAGCTCTGTATGTAAATTGGGCTGAGGTAATATAATAGGAGCATTAGCCTCTTAACAACATCCCTTCCTTACTGATGAGAAAATACCAGATGTGAGACATTAGGAGATACTGCTCAGCCAGCGTGACTACGTAGTTCTTGAAGGGGACACGCGACGGATTTATCAAACGCCGCCCAACCACTTGGAGAATATTATTAGATTATATATACAAGAATTCTATTATATATTATTCAAGAAAATCCTCACTGGTTCGATCCCCGTCCTGTTCCAATGATTTTCGTATTATATATTAATGTAATCTCCAAGTTTTATAATTCCTTTAAATTGTTATTTTCATTGCAAGAAAACAATTAAGAATCATTTGAAAGGTCAAGAATACTGTAAGAATATATTAAGGAAGAATAGAGAATCTGACAATCATTGCGTAAATATTCTCAAGAAAATAAAACATTGGTAATATATTATTTATATTTAAAAATTGTAAACCTGAATGTATGGCAGCAGAATAATAATATATTTTATAAATTGACTAATCCTGTCAGTAAGCAATGAACTCTCTGCTCCTCGAAACAAATACTCAACTGTTTACTTCTCGAAGCACGCACTCTATTGATTCATATTAGAAACAAATCCTCAACAGACTACTCCTTGAGGCAAGTAGTCAACTGACTACTCTCGAAGGAGGTACTCAACAAACAAATCACGGAAACAGGCACTCAACTAACTACTCTTCGATTGAAGTATTCAGCAGACAATTCCTTTGAGCATGTACTCAGCTGAGTACTTCTGGACACAAATACGAAACTGGCTACTCTCGAAGCAAGCAACAGAACAAGCGAGTACTCAAGAAACTACTCAACCCATGCATTCCACAGCCTGTGATTAAGGGGCCACAACGTAGGCACTTAATTGACTATCCCAAGGCTCACTCATTCAACTTCATCCTTGAAGTTACTAGACTGAGCAGCATGACTGAGTAGCATGACTGAGCACAGCTGGAGGAGGGTTCCTGTGCAGCATCACTCTGACCACCTCACACATGATGCTCATCGTGGTGTGCAGGACTACTACGAAACTTCTTTTTTATTTTATTTTATTATCTAAATTTTATATAAATGATCCTTTTTATATGTTAAAATGATAACTTAAAGCTAAAATGATCATGGTATAGCTTAAAGATTTCCCAATAACTATCTTTTCATATATGCTTATAACGTGTTAATATATTTATTCTCGTGATAATGAATATGAATAACATCCACAGGAAGCCCAAATGAAAATAAAGTTTAGAAGTTCAAGTTTATATTTATTGGTCTTCGCAAACAAATATTATACGACTACATATTAACGTATATCCCAACTTATCCTAAAGTTATTGTAAATGAACGGTCGAACCTAAAACTAACTGCCATGTGAAAGGTTTATGATGATTCTGATTCTAACTCACGATCGTAAACAAACCGGTCCCTGGCTTAAAGTTGTGAAATAAAACAGGTGGAATATGCAGGTAAGTGTACCTGGGAGACTCCACCAGCTCTCGCCTCACTCCAGCTTCTCCCACTCCTGGTGGACGCTGCTCACCGGATCTCCAGTCCTCTTCACATATCTGCCAGACACGCCTTCCTCGTTGCTTATGTTCTAACTTGGGGTAAGTTTATAAGCTACGCCTCAATACGTGTCTACACCCAACTTCTAAGTACAAGAGTACACTCCTTAGTGTGGGTTGTACACCCGCACTAAGAATTCGTCTTAGTGCTGGTGTACAACCCTTGTCTTAGCTCAACTGTGCACCCAACAGATTCTTCTCCTTCTTCTTCTTTTAAGAAATAGCAGAAGGAAGAGTGATAATTATTAGTTAATTATATTATTATTATAATAATTAATAATTATCACTCCTCCTTCTGCTTGGTGTTGAAGGAGGCCGGCCTCGGGTGAAAAGGGGCTGTGGCGATCTCTGTCTGGAACCCGTAGGTGCGGGACCGGGACGTCCACCTCCCGGGGGTCGTGTGACCAAAGTTCTGCTTCACGAGGCTGGGGTCGTTCTTACCCATGATGGGGTGGTTCTTCTCCGGACCCGACCCCGGCGGTCTCCGAGTTTGGAGTCCCTGCGCCATCTTTCACCAACTTCGAAGTCAACTCCGGAGCTCACAGTTCCTGCGACGGTGCTGAAACATATCGTATTGGTGTTTTACCTTTCCATTGGAGACTTCCGGCGCCGCGGAGAAGGAGATCCTGCTGCATGGGTAACAGTTTCTCCTCCGAATCAACCTACCCTGGCTTTGCGCCCTGGTGAGGCCACTCCAGAACGACAACCAGAGCGTAAATCCATAGTCTCCTGAGACTGATGGATGCCTACTACTACTATGCATCCCATACCCATCTTGTGGGCGGTAGTGAAAAGGGTTACAGAGGCACATAATGGGCTCAGGGACTGAACCCCACAATTCATCTAGCTAAGCAAGTTACAGTCTTGATGAGCTAGTTACAAAATTCAATTCACATCGTCACATCACCAATGGGTTCGAGATCGACCACAAGTACAGTTTCTAAATTAAGCAACTGACATATATGGAGAACTAGTGTCACAATTGATATGTTTGTCCTGCACACCGCCCCACATCCAGTGGGCAGCGGTGGATTGGTTACAATCACTTAGTTACTACCTACAGTTACCAAACTGGGAATAACTGGCTAAGATTTCTGGTAGTAGATCATTTTGAATTAAATATTTTACAGGTCTCTGGAACATTTTTTTATAGAATTGTCTGTGAATTAACGTATCTTTTCGCACTCCATCACATAGTGACGGAGGGTGTGCGAATAATTTTGTTGACACAGTTTACATTTGGTCAGGTTTACATCAACAGATAATGAGAATTTCCGAGATACTTGTAACCGAGCAGTAGTAACATCTAGAAGTCTGCTGATGTTATTGGATGATCCATAGATGGAAACCTGTCAAAGTTTATCATAACATTTATATTCATTTTCTTCTAAATTCGATGATAGAAAACGAACTCTTTCACGGGTAACTAAATGATTTGTACTTAAATTTTCTGTTATCCTGGACAGGATGACAATTAGACTTACCGTAGTTCCCCCCTAGGCTAACGTCCATTCATCCTCATAATGGAACCCAAAACAGTCGCCTAACGCATTCTAGCTTCTAGTGCAAGCGTACGTGTCCGTACTTCTCATCTTGCCCGGTAATCGAGCCTGGTACCATTCGGTTGTGTAAACCGACTGTTTCCCAGTCAGCATTCATTCTTATTTTATGCTAGCTCACTGACATGTTTCTTAACCACCCTCTTATATAAGGGTGCGATCACTTGCCTGGTTACTGGGTAGACGTGGCCCCGGAATACTGGAGCCTCAGGCAACCTAAATCTAATTTCTAATGATGCTTAGCTTTTTTTTTAGATAAAGAAACAATTACCGTTAGAAATTTCTGGGAGATAAGTACTATAACCCGTTCTTGTGTCACCAGATAGCGGGACGTCTCCAGGGAAACACGGCTTGGGTGCCAGACGGCAGCAGTGTTCAGCAGTTAGCAATTCTCGGCAATCGGGAGAGTACAACTGTGTGCAGTTTTTCATTGGTGTAGTGAGGTCAACAGTCATCAGTGCGTCATAGTAAACATTGTGCAGAGGTCAGCTGTTTGCAGTGGTCAGCCGGGGTCGAGTGTGTGTACATCTGTTTCAAACAAGTTTACAACGCTGCACCTTCGAGGAAGTTGAAAGTAAGTATAATTATTGTTAAAATATTAGCACGACTGGAATTATAGTGCAGTATTTAAAATTTTATTGTTGGCATTCATTGTAGCCATACAAGCATATACTTATATATACTTATGTACACACCAATATATACTCACTTATATATGCTATAGTGCGAGATTCAACACTTGGGCTTCGCTTTCCAATCGCCGTTCATTTCTTACATTAGCATACGAATCTCTTGCTTCTTGCTTCTATGTATGGAGTCAGCCTCACCTTCGTCTACTTTCATTTTATTCCTCTGGATCACAGTCACACACACATGGCTCGTCTCAGTTTTAGCTTCTTCTAATATTTTCTCGTGCTGCTCTTATTCATGCTAAGCACTTTGTTGTTTGCCCATATTTTTAGTTCTTCAAAAAATGTTATGCATGCATGTCTCAATGATGCATTGATCGTCCGATTCCTTTAGTATCCCTCTTGAGAGTCTGTCTGGTACAGCAGCCTTTTTCGTGTGTTCTAATAGATGGCTCCTCTCCTCATCTCAGGTAATCTTCAATTCATCTGGGGCCGCTTGGTTTAACACCAACTGCCTTATTTCAGGCACATCTTTATGTATTGCGAATTGCTCCTGGAATCTCTTGTTGAATTCCTCAAATATCCTCCCGTCATTTTCTACGAACATGTCTTCCCGTATTCCTAAATTTGACCACCTATTTCTTTTCTGTTATTTTTTCTCCTGGAATGGCAGAGAAGTTGCTTGGGTTGAGTACGCATTCCTTGCCTTCTGGTGTCTCACTGTGGCGTCTGGTGATCTATTATTCCTTTGGTTACTCCTTGCCATTGTTTATAATTTATTTCCTTACACTGTTGAATAAACACAGGTTTCTTCTCTGCCTTTAGCTTGTTTTTTTTATTCATGAAAAACTTGAATAATGCCTCCTGACACTTCTGGGTGTTGCGGTCCATTATGCCTTGTACGGCTTTCTCACTCAGTCATGTGTGCGCGTGCACATATGACTCATTAACATATTGTTTTGAGAAGGTGGGTGATAATTAAGTTTCCATCTCTCTTCGGAACTTGAGAAACTTCTGTTAGCCTAATTCTTTTAATTTTCAACATCTTTCTTTTCACACCTGTCTTCTTTTACCTGTTCAGTGCCTCATACTCGTGCTCATCATATACTACAAAAAACTCTTGATTTCTCTTGTATTAATTATGATAATAATCTAATTAGATATAACCTAATTAGTTTTGAGACTTTTGGGGGATATCAAAGAACATCTAAATATTGATCTATCAATACATTTTGTATATTGAATTTATATTTTACAGTGGCGAACACACCAGCGGAACAATCACTTGGTCTTATAATTCACTGCCAAACTCAGAATGATTATATTACCGAGGACCAGGTGAAGGCAGCGCTGAGGGCAGACAAGGGCAGCAACGTCCAGCTACTGTCTTGGATAGTAAAAGAATTTACTCAGAAAGGTGACAATTACGGTTGCTTAATATTCAGCATCACTGTGAGTTATCTGGAAGGAAGCAGCGTGAAGGAGATCACATATATAGCGAAGTGCAACCCACGTTGGCCGACGCCTGATTTAAAAAAGAGGTTTCGGAATCTGTTCGAGAAGGAGGCGGGGTTCTTCGAGCATCTGGTTCCTCTCCTCAATGCCAAGCTGGTCAGCGTTGGTGAAGAGTCCCTGAGGACACCGACTTGCTTCTTCATCAACATGGTGGAGGACGAGGAGGTAATCATCTTCAATGACTTACGTCGACGAGGTTTCAAGATGGTTGACCGCAAGATGGGGCTGGACGCGGCGCACACTCTCCTGGTACTTAGGGAAATAGGCCGGCTTCACGCTGTGTCTGTTTTAGTCCAGTCAAAATTAAGAGAATCATTAAACGATAAGTACAATTTCCTAATTAAGGAGCTGAAGGATTCTGAATATTTCTTTATATTTATGGAAACAGCCACACTACGCATGTCTTATATCATGGAGAAAATAGGTGGCTGCCAAAATCTTGTTACCTGGGCTAGAGACTTTGCCCCGAAGTGCAGCAACGCTTACTGGGAGCTGACGAGGAGGAGTGACCCGTTTGATGTTTTGTGCCACGGAGACTGCTGGCTCAACAATTTCCTTTTCAGGTTAGAATTAGTTTTATTTACAGTTTCACATCTTTTAGATGAATGCCCTAATTTTGGGAAAGATATGAAACTATGTTTATCAATAACTGTTTTCTCATAATGGTCACTAAATCCTCTGGCCGAAAAAGTGGAATCACTTAAAATGGATAACCTTTTGTGCAGCTCACGAGTCAGTATCACTGTACCTGAACTGGTCGGTACAGCGGCGGGTATGCTTCTTATATGTTGAAATTGAAATAAGTTAGTTGTGGTATAAATACACACAAAGGGATGAGGTAGCTCAAGCTATTCTCACCCCGTAACTTGCATGGTTTGCCTTCGACCTCTTATGATATAAATATGTCGAGCACTGTTCCATTTTCATATCCCAGCTCTTTGTTCTCATATCCCTTTCAAGGATTATATTACAATGCTTTCTTCTGTTAATTTGTCAACTTTACATCAGCAATTTGAATAATATTAAATTACGTTTTATTAAGCAGCGCATCCAGGTGCCATACAGTCATGCAGACGATGAGTCACAATAACGTGGCTGAAGACTTGATGATCAAACCACACACCAGAATATGAAGAAACGGCGACGTTTCGAACCGTTGTAGACCATTATCAGGTCGATTGTGATACAGTTGCCATACAGTTATATTACACCGAACTTTACCTAGATAGTTACTTGCTAGCATACTCGATCTGTCTTTCCACAACAAATCCTTAGAGTCTTCCCCAACCCAAGTGGAAGGTCGAGGATTTCCGTTTAGTTGACAGAAATGTTAGCAAGTTGAACCGAGCACTACTGAAACGCTTTTTGATGCAAAATAATTATTATATCCAACCTTATGACAACGGAATTATTATTTTCAATAACTAATTCCTAAAATTTTATACACATTTCTAAAAGGCTAAAAATTTTGGTATTTCAGATTGTTAAACCGTCCAGATGGTTAACCAATACAGTGTCAGCGGTTTTATTAAAAATTAGATTGTCAGCCATTAATCTATATATTCTCCCACCCATCCCCTTCAATACAGAGCTTGCTACATTTTCTATTTATATCGACGGCATTTAATTCTTTTCAGAATTTGCAATTAAATACAGTTAGTAATTTCAGAAATATGTTTAGCAATGAGTGGGTCAGTTAGGCCGTCTAGTCAACCACACCACAAGTTCTCACTTTGTAGTGTTCTATGCCATTTTCCCAATTTCATTCTGGGATTCAATCCCTGTTTTTGGGTTTTAGGCAAAGTGCTAGGATGCTCCTCGATTGTCCCAGCAAGTTCTGGACAATCACAGTAGTGGATATTTCCTAATCATAAAATTGGATCCTAAGGCCATCCTCATTTAATTCAATATTAAAATATGTAACATGGACTATCTCTGACTTTCTAGGGTTGTGAGATTTTCTGAGTGTAGTAACTTGTGTTCTACATGTAAGGAACATCAGCACAGGTTTCTCTTCCATTGTCATCGATGTGATATTAATACAAAACCATGAGATCTATTTAATTATCTTTTTGTTTTGTTTTAATTTTAAATATTCCTTAGTTTTAGTTGTCAAGCAATTTGTTTATATTTATTAACAGTAAAAGTGACTCAGGTGGCATGATAGTGGTGTGATAAAGGAAACAAGTAAGATCCGAGAAGTTAACATCAGGCTCGAATAATTTGTTGCCTTAAAAACCCTTTAAATCTTTCATGTAAAATAACCATAAATTCAAATTTTCTCAATAACTAATACAAATTACATTTAAATATACCGACGGAACTCACCCCTTTACCCAGTCAACTCATTTATAAACACCACTCACAGATGATAAATAACTAGATAAAAACAATCTGAATGCATAATTAGCAAACTAATGTGCAAAAATGACATTTATGAACAGGTACAATGAGTGCGGAGCGCCAGTGGACGTCATCCTTCTAGACTTCCAACAATGCTGCCTGACCTCCCCTGGTATTGACCTCAACTTCTTTATGTACTCAAGCTTCGACGGTGCCTATAGGAGGGATAATCTACCCACCTTCTTGAAGGCCTACTACGAGTCCTTCTCCTCGGTGCTGGAGGCGGGTGGGAGCGCCCTGCCCTACAGCAGCGAGGAATTACTTCTGGAGTACCGAAGGAAGAATCTGTTCGGGTTTTTGACGGGGCTATATGTGGTTCCCCTGGCGATGTGCGTTGACGAGAACGTCACAGACCTGAGCGAGGTAATGGATGGAGGCCTCGAAGCCTTCCGGAAGGAAAAGAACGAAAGGTTCATAAGGCAGCTGGAGAACAACCCGCTGCTCAAGACGCGGCTCATTTCCCTATTTGATGATTTGATAGAACACGGCTTAATCCAATAGGTCCGTTGCACGGGTGAAAGTGGATGAGTGAACACAACATAATCCACCAGGTATTTGGGAAGTTTGTCAGAGAAATCAGACATTCGGAAAGCATGGATGAGGTATACTAACAAAAATATAGTTGAAGAGTGTGCTGAATAGAGTTTACCCTAACTTGGAGCTTGTGATGAGGGAGGCTTCCTCTCACAAGGATGGTGTGATGAGTGAAGGTTTCTTTCACAAAGATGGCAACTACCAAATAAATTTAATATTAAAGAAAAATTAAACATGAGTACTAATTTATTATGCACCCCATACTGTTCATGTGAGTAGTGGTTTATTGTGCACCCCATAATCATCTTATGAGTGGTAGTTGATTATGTCCACTATCCTCACCCTGAACTCACCTAGTTGTGCTGCAGGGTGTTCATTTTCGCCTTTTTGGTTCTGCTTTTTTAACCGTTAGTCAATAGGTGTGTAGTGTGTAGAGGTCAATCAGTGTGCAGCCCATAGTCATTATGTGGGTGACATCTCATTCTGTACCTAATGCTCATCTATGAGCGGTAGTTCATTGTGCACCCCCACATATTTTGATCTGTAGAACAAAAGTTCATATTTTGAACGGTAGAACAAAGTTCATATTTTGAACGGTGGAACATAAGTTCTACAGCTTCTCTCCCATCAAACAGCGTAGAAAGTCGAACACAGTACACGGCCAAATCCATAACACATATAAGACAATTTTTGTCCCCTAAATAGTAAGAGAGGTGCCAAATTATTAATGTCTCCAAAGTACAGAAAATGACTTATTCCTCCTCAAAGTTTGTTTTGACCTTTGCCTAGAGAACTTAAGAAAGAGCTGTGCCAAAGTGTCACACCTTTCGATAAAGAGTCTGCAGCCTTCACGTACCTTCATGATATCCTGATCGAAAGTTTATTGTGTGTGTGTGTGTGTGTGTGTGTGTGTGTGTGTGTGTGTGTGTGTGTGTGTGTGTGTGTGTGCATATGAGGAAACAAATAAGTAGTATATATAATGGAGGAAAAAATATCAGGAATGACTACAGCGACGTTTAGAAAGGTGAGGTCGAGGACCTAACAGCTCGATTCAGCAGGCACATATATTAAATACAAATAGTAAATACACCCACAGCCACAACCCCCCCACCCCATCCTGCCAGTGAGCCCAAGCTGTGATAGCAGCCATGTACAGAAACATAAACAATGGTTATCACTACCACGAAGCCTGAATGCCAATTTCTTTACAAATCGTAGCTAAAAGTCACCAATATCTTGTCTCAGTTACACGTTCTGGGACTCTGCTCTGCCACTATTCGAGTATGGGCCCGAGCAGACCTCAACTTGCACGCTCTTTGCGTTAATAATGAGAGCTGAAGAACTCTTGTATAAAGATTGCGGATGACATGTTTATCGTGTATAACTTTTGCTGGTGTGTAATCAAGAGCAATGTTACCGTATAGCTATTATGGAGTATAATACAGGATGGATAATAGGGCGACAGGCTGCTTGGCAGGCTTGGTTGGCAGGCTTGGACGGCAGGCTTGGGCGGCAGGCCATGGCCGCAGGCTTGGGCAGCAGGCTTGGTCAGAATCTCCCCTGGTGCAAATTAGTTTCACAAAGAAATTTGTGCTCATTGCAGGATACTGAATGTTATATATAAGTGGCCCAGGGGGCAGCGCCAAGGGGCTAATACTCGACCCTTCAAGAAAATTTAGGTGAGAACACTAAGCTGAGTGCAACGATTTCATGAGACACATCATGAAACGCATCATGAGACACATCAACATTTCACTTCACCTTCCCCATAATTCCACTAACATCACTAGGCAGACCATATGAATTCCGTTTCGGCAGTGACCAAAATTCCAAAGGCAGCAACTGAAAACTTGTGTCAATAAAATGGAACGTAAAAATGTTCAAGATGAAACAGCTAAATACGTGATGAACATCGACCCAGGTACAACAGCACGCTTCCAGACTCAAGACAAAGTACTTGCTGGTTAAAGGAGTTTTATTTGACGCGAGGAAAAATTGCCACCAAGAATGCTTAATATGGTGACTTAGAGCAGCAATACATCAGACCTGGACCTATAATGTCTGCCGGGTCGATGTTTGGTGGCGTCACGGAGACCTTGACCACAGGGAAGACGGACGTGTGTGTGTGTGTGTGTATTAAGTGTACAGGTGACTTGTGGTGCACAGGTGGTGTATAATACATATGTAATGTGTAGTGCACGTGTGATGTATAATACATTTGTGATGTATAGTGAACAGGTGACGACGGGGAAGGTGATGAGGTCACAGGTGATGGCTACACACCATCACCTGTGTCGTTTATTCTATTATTTATCCAAGTTTATCTATCTATATATTATATCTATCCAAGTTTATCCTATATATCATTTATCAACATTCAATATTTCACCCCACAATTCCTTATATTCCCTAGTTTCTAGTGACGTACCAGTAGGCTTACACTGGACCACACATGTGAGAATATAGGGAATGTGATTAAAACCCCATCATATAAATATATAAGCTAAATTATATAGGCCTTATAATTTACATATATAAATTATACTCAGGAAACATTAAAGTTATGCACAAATAAATCTCGTTATTGACACAAATTTTCTCATTAATACATCACGTTAATGTGATTTACTTATACAATTGACGACAAGCGGTGTGGTGGAGCTTCTATATACCAGAGCCATAGTGCATGCGGGCAATGTGTGACACCCTGACTTGGCTTCAATTTAAGCCTCAGGATCCCTAGAGGATCCAGTAGAATTCCAGGCTGCATTGTATTTATCACGTGTTGGTCGAGTGGCTTATGGCGGGTGATTGGGATTAACCAATTGTGCAGGTTCGAATTCTCTTCATGGCTTTCAATGCCAAATCTAACTCTGTTACTTGGCTACCCTTCTTGAGGTTATCTTGAGATGATTTCGGGGCTTAGCGTCCCCGTGGTCCGGTCCTCGACCAGGCCTCCTTTTTGTTGCACAGCCCCAGGAAGCAGCCAGTATCAGCTGTCTAACTCCCTGGTACCTATTTACTGTTAGGAAAATAGGCGCATTAGGGTTAAAGAAACTCTTCTCATTTGTTTCCGAATTTTCTGTGGATCAATCCCCGGACCCTAGGACTACGAATCACGAGCCCTGTCCACTCAGCCGTCAGGCCCCGTGTGTGTGTGTGTGTGTGTGTGTGTGTGTGTGTGTGTGTGTGTGTGTGTGTGTGTGTGTGTGTGTGTGTGTGTATGTGTGTGTGTATGTGTGTGTGTGTATGTGTGTGTGTGTGTGTGTGTGAACGCAGGTTTTGAAACCCTAACTATCGACATTGAGAGAAAATATATTGATTTCTGCCACAAACTGCTTATAACTATCTAAATAAAAGGATGAAAACAAAGACAGACAGACTGAAAAAGAAAAGGACAGACCGTGAAAAAACAAAGAACCACATTAAAACACACACAAAAAAATAAACCACACCCAAATAAAACCAAAGACCAGAAAGAGACAGAAAGATATAGAAAAAGAGACAGACAGACAGGCATACCAAAGCCAGTTTCTCAGCCGTCTAATCGCCCCCCCCCTCTCCAGAGCCTCGGGAGAAGCTAGGTCAACATACCCAACGAGCTCCTTCAGAAAACGGCACTCCACGTCTCCCGCAAACACACTTAAAACTTGCTTCTTGAGTGCCTTAATGGCGCCTCCTTCCCGGCGCGCCTACGTCAGAGCAGAGGGTGAGAGGCATCTACCTGGCGCTTCTCTTTCCTTTACACTACAGTGCAAGAGAGACGCAGTTGAACATTCAACAGGAGGCACATGGTGGGAGGAATGGGTGATAGGAGTGATGAATGGTGAAAGGAATGCGTGGTGGGAGAGACAAAGGAAGGAACAGGAGGAACATGGAAAACTAGGCTGGATTTACACGGAAGCTGTCTAGCCTACCGCAGTTAATTTGTCCTTTGTGGTTATCTGTGAGTTACGTTCATCCTGCTGCCTTAGACTATTGTGTTACTGTCACGCTACTGTGAACAATATTATATATATATATATATATATATATATATATATATATATATATATATATATATATATATGTAACTGAAAACTCACACCCCAGAAGTGACTCGAACCCATACTGCCAAAAGCATTCTGCAACAGGTGTACAGGACCCCTTAAGGGTTAAGGGGTAATAGTATCAGCTCTCTCTTCCAGTGAGCTGATACTTTTCTGTTTGTCTTATAACCCTGGAGTAATTCTCTTTTTTTTCCAGATGTGTGCGTGTGTGTTCTCACCTAGTTGTGCTTGCGGGGGTTGAGGTTTGACTCTTTTGTCCCGCCTCTCAAGTGTCAATCTTCTGGTGTACAGATTCTGGAGTCTATTGGGCTCTATCAAATCTACATTTGAAACTGTGTATGAAGTATGCATCCACTACATCACTGCCTAACGCATTCCATTTGTTAACTACTCTGACACTGAAAAAAATCTTTCTAATGTCTCTGTGGCTCATTTGGGTACTAAGTTTCCACCTGTGTCCCCTTGTTCGTGTTCCGCCTGTGCTAAATAGTTTGTCTTTGTCCACCCTGTCACTTTCCATGAGAATTTTTTAGGTGTGTATCATGTCTTCCCTTACTCTTCTGTGTTCCAGGGACGTGAGGTTCAGCTCCCGTAGCCTTTCCTCGTAACTCATATTTCTCTGTTCTGGGACTAGTCAGGTAGCATACCTGTGTGTGTGTGTACTCACCTATTTGTGCTTGCGGGGGTTGAGCTTTGGTTCTTTGGTCCCGCCTATCAACTGTCAATCAACTGGTGTACAGATTCCTGAGACTGGAATTCCATGTGTGTGTGTGTGTGTGTGTGTGTGTGTGTGTGTGTGTGTGTGTGTGTGTACTCACCTAGTTGTGTTTGCGGGGGTTGAGCTCTGGCTCTTTGGTGTGTGTGTGTGTGTGTGTGTGTGTGTGAGTGTGTGCGGTACTGACTTATCTAGGCTACGTAGCGAGGCGGGACAATAAACGCCATGACTAAGGTAAACAACTTTCTCAGTGCCAGTTAGAAGTGAAATTTCCCAGCCGTCATGTGAAGTGGGATGTTGCTGGCCAGGCTTGTTGCTAGCTCTCCTGTCCCTTATTCCCTCATTGTGTTCTCTTCTTCCTCACACCCTCATCGTGTTCTCTTTCCCCTTTCTCTCATCTTCACATATCTTTATGACTTTATTCATTCTTTCGTCTGTCTGTTTTTATCTCTTTTTCTTTCTTCCAGATCCTCATTGTTTATGTCATGTTTTATTTAATTCACTTCTCTTCAACGTATTCTCATTCTGACTTTGAC